CCTCGGCTCCGCGAAGGATGCCCTCGCCCAGCGAGCGGAGGCGAAAATCCGCCCCCGCGTTGCCGTGCCTCTTAACCAGGGAGCCTGTGGGCGCGTTAACCAGCGCACCGAGCAGCAACGCCGGCTTTAACTGTAAATTACTTTTGCCACCTAGCGTCAACATCTTTTCAAGTGGCTTGCCGCTGCTTCGGAAACTTCGCTGCGGCGTTATCCCCGGGACAGAAAGGGAGAGGGAAGGAAAAAAAAAAATCACTTCGTTTCGGGTTTACCAAGCAAGTGGGGCGGCAGGGGGAGCAATGTCTGTACTGAAATTTGGGGGTCGCCCGTCGGTGGAGGTGAGAAGTGACACATCACCACGGATCTTTTAATCTACGGGAGAGAGAAAGTTGGTCCACTAGCATCCCCTTGCTTAAAAAACTGGACATAAAAAGTTACACGCGCGAGGGCTTTAACCTTGGGGAGGGGGGGGGGGGGGAGGACCCGAAAAAACTTGCCCCAAATCCTTAACAACCCCCCTTCGGTACCGGGTATTTGTTAAATTGACGTGGCACAGATTTCTCGATTACCGCTGCTGAGCGTGACTGAAAGGCGCCGTGAGAGCCGGCAGGATCCTGCCCACGGCGCTCATTCTTCTCCGGCTTAATTTATGCCACGCGATTCTGTATTGGGGAAATCAAGCAGAAAGCTCCCTTTTCTGCTTTTTTCCCCCCTCTCCCTCTCTCTTTCAGATGCTGGGCTAACGGGGAGACTGTTTAACTTAAGTGTTTCTATAGGAGGCTGTTGTAGTTTAACTCCTGCCCACCAGTAGCTGAGGCGAACAAAGGAGGGACTCGAGGTCTAACTATTCATCCATTCTCTGCACTTTAATTTTCATTGATTTTGAAGACAAGGGGAGCCCTTAGGGATTCTCGCTGAAGGGGGATGACACGCCTTTAGACGCGATCAGCCCCCTAGCCAGCCATCTGCTCCTAACCAAATGGCGCTTTTTCGCTCCCAACCGCGTGTCTCCGCACCGCGCTCGCCCGCCGCCCCCCGCGCCGCCCCCGCGGT